ATAGTAAAGACATTCTACCAAGGATAATCTGTAAAGACCTCGCAACAAAGCACCTAGCATACACTTAAGTGCATGTGCAGTTTTCTACAACTGTTAAGGTAGTCTTAACTGAATTAAGTGAGCTGATGATCTCTGGAGGTTTATTTCTCCTATTTACTGCCCAGAGCTCTTCCTATATTCCTTCTTTTGGCTCTAGCAGAGTTTTTAGAAACAAACTAATAAAGTATGTATCAACTCTAGTCATTAGTTCTTCATAATATGGAATTGGTTTAGCAAGTAAATAAAGCTGCCATTCTGCCTGACTAATAACATTGGGCAACTCTTGAGGGCTTTAAACAGCGTTACACTTTGTTTCTGGGTAGCTGTATATAAATGCAAATTATTGTGTTATGTTTCCTAAAATACTCTTGGTCCTCATTATATACCAATGTGGCATGGTGGAAGTAGGTGCTAACAAAGGCAGGAAATCTCTCTTGGGAATAAGATCTGGTATGCTTGTGGAAAAATTATGCTTACATTGTCATTACATTTTACATTACCTCATTTGTTTGGATTTTATAACTATCATCTGCTGTTGTTTGGAGTGCTGTGAGCAAGTAGTTCTTCTTCTCAGGATATGTCAGAAAGGTATACTAAGTGTAAATAAATATTGAAGATAAAGTGTCAACTGTTTCTAAACAAATATTCAACATTTTTTACAGTAAAAATTAACAAATACATTGTAGATCAAGCAAAAGTTAAATAAAGTTATGCTCTCTAGAACTTTCTCAATTCCATAGGTTCCTGATTCAGTTTTTCATTATCTAAAGCATCCCTTTAGTTTTCAAATTTTTCATTCATTTGATGTTTTCTTTATTCAAAAAATAATACATATCTGTAATAATAAGTAAAGCAATACAAATATACATAAAGATGGTGTTAGTTATGTCTCATGCTGCTGCCCACAGGCATGCCCTTCAAATGACCTTCCATTACTTTCTACTTCCTTGTACATACAGATGCAATTTTATCTCCACCCATTCATAAACACATATGGGGGTTTGGAGTTTGTTGTTTCAGATGAAAAAGAATTGCATAACACATATGAGGCCCTTGCCTTTTTTATCTTGGTATGTATTTTGGATATGCTGTAAGTAAATAGATGCAGTCTCTATGCGTATCATATATCACATACATACATCTAAACATATACATGATATATTCATTATTCTGGAAATTTTTTCAATGAAGTTTCTGTCTTTTAAAATTTATTTCCTTTTTTGTTACCAATTTACCCTCTCTCATCTCCACCCACCCACCCAACACTCCACGTCATCTTCCTACCCCTATCCCATCCAGATGACTGGATACTTAATTATCTAGTATATTTCTCTCTCCCAATATATACATATGTATGTATATTATTTCATAAACAGATATAGACAGATAGATATAAATAAATATTTTATTTAATGTTTTAAGTTTTGAGCTGTTGTTCTTTTTAGAGCTATAGATCTACTGAGCTCTTTAGTCCATACAGGGAATTGGAGTAAAATCTCTCCGTTTAGAAGCCAAACATGATTCAATCCCACAGGTGTTTAGGGTTTTAAGGTTCTTAAAAGGGACTGGAAGAACTCAGTGTTCTGGGTTTTCCCTGTCAATGTTTTTCCTTTCAACCTTGTTATGGTGTAATTTTTGCAATTGCCTTTTGCTACCGAACCAGAAATTTTGCTCCAGACTGTCATATATTACAGTAATTTCCTCCACAGACTTTTCTCAACCTGTTATCACTATCACAACTTTAGCGAAAATGACCCCTCTGATATCTCATGGTGCTATATTTCTAAACTATCAGAAAATTTTAAGTTTCCTGCCACAATTTACTAAGTACGGTTTCTGGATATTGCATGATAAGTCAATTATGAAGATGTTCTATCCACTTCCATACAAAGCAAACCAGCTTGAGAGTTGGTAACTCTGAGGTAAACAAGTACATAACGAATGAACAGAGCACAGCATTTGTGATCAATGTGTAGGTCTGCAGTGCAGTGATGGTTTTCAAGCTCACTCTTCTGTTTATTTTTTAGGATGCCGAACATAATAGACTTGATGGAAAATCTCTGACTACAAAAGGTAAAAAAGATTTTCTGTGATCTGTCTCTGAGTAGAACATACACAGAATTCTTCAGCAGAAAACATAAACAGGTACCTTATAATAAACTACAAATGGTCATTCTACAAGGAGAAGCACATAGCTACTATTCTAATAGATCACAAGGGTTAGACCTTAGAGCTTCAATAGGTAGAAAACATATTGGCTTTTTTTGCAGATTCTGGGAATTTTCTGCTTCATTTTGTTCAAATGGCTTTATCTGGACCCATCATCTCCTGTCAGGGCATGAAGATCATACTCCAAATGGCTGCTCCCATGGCCATCATGTGGATGGGGTTTAGGGTCCATCCCAACACATGGGGGACCTGGAGAGACTTCCTATACCTAACTGCTAGGCTTCTGTTGCTTTATTGTGATTGCATGTATGATATTTTGTCAACCCCTCTTGATGTTAACCTCTCTGAGGGCAGGGAACATGCCAATATTGTTGACCGTATAACTGTCGGCATCCAGCTCAGCGTCAGAATTTATGTTATTACTCTAGAAATCCTTTCTGAAAGAATCCATATTTGAAGAGAGGAAGGTTGTTAAGAAGTTTCTCTTTCCAGAAAGTTGGTGGACCCATGATTTTCCTGCCATGACTCCCTTTTCATTTCCTTTTTAACTTTTATCTGCTCCTTCCCTGATTTGCAAACACCTTTTTAAAAAATTCACTTACGATTATTGGAATACTGTATGATATGGTTCAGCCTTGCTCCCCCTCCCCAAATCTCGTCTTGAATTGTAGTTCCCATAATCCTCAGGTGGCATGGGAAGGACCCAGAGAGAGGTAATTGAATCATGGCGCGGTTACCCTCATGCTGCTGTTCTCCTGAGAGCAAATACGTTCTCATGAGTTCTGATTGTTTTATAAGTGGATATTTCCACTTGTGCTTATTCTCCTTCTTGCCACCATGTGAAGAAGGATATGCTTGCTTCCCCTTCTGCCATGATTGTAAGTTTCCTGAGGCCTCCCCAGGTACGTAGAACTGTGAGTTAATTAAACCTGTTTCCTTTATAAAGTACCCAGTCTTGGATATTTCTTCATAGCAGAGTGAGAACGGACTAATACACTGTATTTCTGAAATTACGACAAACTTTATCCAATTATTTTCTATATTGAAAGCTCAGTTTTCTCCTGAGTTGCAGATTTTTGCAAGAACCTGCCAGTAAAAATCTTTATTTGGCCCTCCCACAGATGACATGTATGTGTAATCAAGTAAACTTTTGCAGCTCCACTTTGATAGTCCCCCAAATGTTCCGATTCTCATATCACATGTGCCATTATTTCCACAATTAGTCATTGACTGTCCAATTCATTGTTTATTTTGTGCTCTGTTTTATTCCTTAGCCCCCTTCATTCTCACACTACATGGGCATGTTCTTTAACTTCTATCCCTTAATTATCTATTTGATCTAGGCCTTCATAGGAATCTTAGTTGCTGCTTTTTACGTTAAGACCTTGCACTGACTGGTTACACAGCCTCCAGAATGGTGCTTTGGTCTGTGGTCATACTCTCTGGCCACCTTTCCTTCAATAGGATGCCATAATTATTTGTATAAAACATGCACTTCATATTTTTATTTAATTTTTCCATGAGTTATTGGAGTACAGGTGGTATTTGGTCACATAAGTTCTTTAGTGGTGATTTGTGAAATTTTGGTGTACCCGTCACCCAAACAGTATACACTGCACCATATTTGTAGTCTTTTATCCCTCACCCCCCAATTCTTCCCCCCAAATTCCCAAAGTCCATTCTTATACTTTTGCATCCTCATTGCTTAGCTCCCACATATCAGTGAGAACGTACGATGATTGGTTTTTCATTCCTGAGTTACTTCACTTAGAATAATAGTCTCCAATCTCATCCAGGTAAAGGGAAATATTACAACTTTCTAAAACATTAGCCAGTGCACCCATTACAAAATATATATGGACTTGATGTTCTAGTTTCTCTTCACTGCCCAGGGCTTCATTTCTTGCCAGTGACTTTACTCACTTTTCTCTCAATAAGTAACATCAATTCATGACTTTGCAGTCCAATACTTTTTTCACGCTTTGCATTTTTGTTCCCCCTGCCTGGCATACACTTTACCCCTAATATATTTTTCCTTGGTTAAAAATTTATCCAAATGTTGTAACCTTCAATGAGAATATTTTTGATCTCTTTGCTCTACAATCTCCCTCTTTTGCATCCAAACATGAGCTTCTCCTCTGTGTTCCTACTTGGCCATTACATCACCTATCAGGTTGTAGCATACATGTTTATTTACAGATTTGTTTTTCTGCTTAAAAACTCTCTTCCCATAAGTAATACTAAGACTTAACTGGAAGTCCTATATAGTAATTACTTAATAAATATTTATTAAACAAGTGAATATTAATAAATTTAAAGAATGAATAACATGGCCAGGCCAAAGTAGTTTAATTCAAAATAAACCTAGAACTCCCTGCTCCTGAAACATACCAAAAGGTACTTTGCCTGGTAAATTATGAAAACACATCAGTTTGGAAAAGGAAAATGTAGTTAATCTAGGGCACTGATGTGGATTTAGTGTGAATTTAATAATGTGTCTTCCTTGCCTAGAATTAGATTGAATAATTAAGCATTCTTTTTTTTTTTTTTTTTTTTTTTTTGAGATGAAATCTTGCTCAGTCACCCAGGCTGGAGTGCAGTGGTGCAATCTCAGCCCACTGCAACCTCAGCCTCTTGGGTTCAAGTGATCCTCCTGTCTCAGCCTCCCCAGTAGCTGGGGCTACAGGCACCCACCACCACATCTGACTAAGTTTTGTAGTTTTAGTAGAGATGGGGTTTTGCTATGTTGGCCAGGATGGTCTCGAACTCCTAAACCTAGGTGATCCACTTGCCTCAGCCTCCCAAAGTGCTGGGATTACAGGGAATCATTAACAATTCTAGTTGGGTTAAACAAATAAAAGAAGTGTAGTAGAACAGCAAAAATGGACCCAATTGTAGATATTATTCAGTCAATGCCTGATAATAACCATGTACTATAATCACACTGGTGCCAGTAGTCAAATTCATAACCCACCACAGCCACATCTGTAGCCACAGTCCAGGATTCTAAAGGCACCAAAGCCAGAGGTATAACCATATTTGCAGCCATAGCCATAGCCTAGTCCTCCATAGTAGTTGCCATAGTAGCTTATTGTGTCAGGATTTAAGTCTTTAGCCTAAGAGGCAAGAGTAAGTTTTAGTGCATAAAAACACTAACAGTCTTTTATCAGTCTCAGTGTAGGTGTGACAAACCACAGGCACTCCTGACATTCTTATATAGATCAACCTGTATTTAAAAATCTCATTAATCTTATATCTTTAGATTAAAAAAAAGACTCCATATCCTGATAAAATTGAGATTTTCTTCTCAGTATGTTATGATGCTGCCAAACAGTTGATAGGCTTTAAGGGAAAAGAAAAAAAATGCTGAGTTCAATGACTTTGCTCACACTAATGCTGAATTTAACCTTTGTAACTATGTTGGATGATATCACGTGGAGGAGGCAAATGCCATCCTCTTCACATCATTTTGCTAATAATACCCTTCTTCTTATATGCATATTTAAATCCTAATCAACACAGCTGTGATGTTATCTATATACATCTTCGTAGCAAATACAGTGGACTCTTGAATACCATGGGTTTGAACTGCACAGATAGGCTTATATTAAACAGATTTTCTTCACCTCTGCCACTCCGGCAGCAAGACCAACCCCTCCTCCTCCTTCTCCTCCTCAACCTACTCAACATGAAGACAATAAGGATGAAGACCTTTATGACGATCCACTTCCACTTAGTGAACAGTAAATACATTTTCTCTTTTTTCCTTATTTTCTTAATAACATTTTCTTTTCTTTAGCCTACTTTATTATAAGAATGAATCTAGTATACATAAGCATCTATTAATCAACTGTTTATGTTATTGGTAAGGCTTCTGGTCAACAGTAGGCTATTAGTAGTTAACTTTTTGGGGAGTCAAAAGTTATACTCTGATTTTCAACTGCTGGAGGTTGGCACCCCTAACCCCTGCATTGTTCAAGTGTCAACTGTGATTTATTCTGTACAAAATCCCACCAAGCACATATTACTCTGTAGATTTCCTATTGCTACGCTCTCTTAAAAGTAGTGCCATTTTCTTGCTTGTTTAGTTCCTTCCTCTCTACACCTTAAGCATTCTTTAAAAAGTTGTTTAGTTGATTATCTTGGACCTGCACTGTAATGTAGACATGTTTCTTCAGAGAAAAGAAAAGCATTGAGAATCTTATCGGATTTCAATGTCATAGGAACGTAGAGTAGACCCAAATTTAACAGAAAGTATGACTATTAATTTTTCTTTAGGGATATTGATGCTGTCTGTATCAAGTACTCATATGTAGACTTAAGTTCTGAAATGCAGACTGAATCTAGATACTATCATTTCTTAAGATGATTAAAAATAATTGAAAATTTTCCTTCACCACTGACCTTTAGGGTAATCCCTGCTTTGATCTGTTATACTTCGGTCATCCACTTTTAGGCAGTGCTAGCATGTTGGCTGAACCATCTATAATCCGGGACTAACTTTTCCTTCTTCAACTGGAAAATCAGCATAAATTTGTAGGTGTATGTTGAGAAAGGAGAGAAAACTCAGCAGAGTGGAAATCATGAGAATCCAAGCCAATTGCTTCTGTAAGTTGTTTGTACTTTCAGAACTCCCTTAAGCCCAACCTTATGTTCTCCACCTTCACCTGATGACAGAGAGCTGATGTGTATGCTCAACTTTCTGAATAAGAGGGCTAGAAAATATATCGTTCATAATGGGCAGTTCAAATCCTATGATGAACTAAAAGTCTTTTTTCCAAAGGAGAATATACATTTACAGAAGAGAGCATAGATTTGCTCCAAAATCCTAAAAGTATGTGCCTGATTCACCTATACAGGCCTGTAAATGCCTCCAGACAGCATTCTTATCAGTCATAGATGCTTCATGCACCATTGAATCTGCCCCTCTATATAGTTTGAACAACAGAGCAATATTCACAGCTGACTATGACCGTTCCAGAGCCTTCTCTTGCTCTTAAGTAACTCAAGACTGAAAGCCATTATATTCCTTTCTAAATGGTAGCCCGTGCCATATACAAATAAAGATTATGTTGCCATGAAAATGTAACAAAGTGACTAAGTATTATGCCTCTTGCTGAGTGGTAAGAGGGGCCAAAGGGAGCAACTTATCCTTCGTTCAGATCACTAGACCGATAAAACTTTCACTGAGTGGCAGATCCCTGAATTTTTATGAATTTATTTTCTATCTGTGGTCTCTTATGGGTCATTTAAAAATGTCCATGGTAGTTGTTAATTATTGCTCTTTGGTTCTGATCACCATAATACCATCAATATATTCCATTAACACGGTATCCTCTGGAATAGAGAGGCAGTCAAGGTCTCTGCAGATGAATTTATGCCTGGACACTGAAGAGTTAGCATGCTTTTGAGATAGGGCAGTGAAGGAATATGATTGGTCTTGCCAGCTGAATGGAGACTGACTCTGGTGTTCTTTATTTGCAGGGTAAAAAGACTGCCAGATAAAAAGTGAATATTAGGTTCAAAGGGATGTGTTTATTTGCTCCAGCAGAGAAATAGCACATCTGACAAAACAGCTATATCTGGAGTCATTACTAGATTAAGTTTATGATAATTCCCTCTTATTCTTCTAAACCTATTTATATTTTGTAGAGGACAAATAAGCAAATTGAATATTGATGTGGTACAGTCATCTCTCTTGAAACTTTCAAGACTTTAATGGTAGTGTTGTGGTTTAAACTGTGTCTTCAAAAAGCATATGTTGAAGTCCTAACCCCTGGTACCCATGAATGTTACCTTATTTGGAAATAGAATCTTTGCAGTTGTAATCAAGTTGAGGTCATACTGAATTATGGTAGATTACAAATCCAGTCACTGATTTTTTTATAAGAGGGCTTTGTGACAAAACAGAGTTGAAGATACACACAGAGAGAATGCCATGTGACCAAGAAAACAGAAGTTAAAGTGGTATGTCTATATGCCAAGAAAAACCAAAGATTGCCTGCAGCCATCAGGAGGTAGGAAAAGGCAGGGAAGGATTTTTCTCCAGACTCTTCAGAGAGAGCATGGACTATCCACACCTTGATTTTTAATTTCTAGCCTTCAGAACCATGAGAGAATAAGTTTCTATTGTTTTAAGCCACCAAATGTATGATATGTTGCTATACTAGTCCTAGGAAATTACTGTAGATAGCATTAATCTCTATAATCTTTCTGGAAATAAAAGATTGTTTTTAATTTACTATTTGGTAGGAAGAGGTAGCTCTACTAATTTCTGTTTATTCTTTCCTACCGCAATAGACCTCACTCCAGAGACCCAGTGTGCAGATTCTACCAGTTGTAGCATATCTATTTCATGGGGGGAGTGGTGGATTCACTGTGCCCATTATGAAATAGATGAAAGTTCAAACTTCATTTATTATTTTACTTGACCACCATACGGTATGGAGTCTTTAAAAATTTAGTCTCTGTTTAGAGCCAATGTCTGATAATCTCTAAAAATTTTGATGCTTTACCCTTGTCCAAAGCACTGTCATACTAGTAAATTGGTGCAGATTATTTTGAAGATGACTGAAAGGATGATTTACAGTATCATCTTTTTGGCAATGATGCATGGATCTTCCTCAACAGACCTGCCTCGCATTCATTCAAAAATTTGTGGGCCTGTAAATTGGCTTAGATGGAGTTGGTTAATTGGTTAATGTATAGTTTCTTTTGTCTTTAATCTTACAGATTCCATTCATTTCCAAATTTATTTAGAGCAGCAGCATTTTTTTATCCCTTTCAGTGAGTTTGTTTTAGATATTTGTAATACAGCTAGGTGATTTTGTAATATTCTCTATTTCATTCTGGGATCCTTTGTTCTTCTAAGTAATTTTTCATAATTTGTGTAAATTAAGGTTCACTCTTTTTTATTTATTTTTAACTTTTAAGTTCAGAGAACATATGCAGGTTTGTTACATAAGTAAACTTGTGTTATGGGGATTTGTTGTACAGATTATTTTATCACCCAGGTTTTAAGCCGAGTACCCATTAGTTTTTTTCCTGATCCTCTCCCTCCACCCACTGATAGGCCCCATTGTATGTCGTTTCCCTCTATGTGTCCACCACAAAGATGAGAAAAAATCAGCATAAGGTTCACTCTTTGTGCTGTAAAGTTATATGAGTTTTGAGAAATGGATAGTGTCACATTTCCACAAATAAAATATCACACAGAATGGTTTTACTGCCCTAAAAAAATCCCCTGTGATTTGCCCATTTAATCTTCCTATCCTGAACCTTTAGAAACGACTTATCTTTTTACTATCTCTATTGCCTTTTCCAGAATATAATATAATTGTAATCATATACATGGCCATTTCACTAATTTGGCGTTTTAATCACAATTTTTATAAAGAGAATAAAATACCAAGGAATAAAGTTAACAAGGGAAGTAAAGGATATCTTTAAGGAGAGCTACAAATCATGGCTCAAGGAAACCAGAGAGGACACAAACAAATGGGAAAATATTCCATGCTAATGGATAGGAAGACTCAATATTGTGAAAATGGCCATACTGCCCAAAGCAATTTATAGATTCAATGCTATTCCCATTAAACTACCATTGACATTCTTCACAGAATTAGAAAGAAAACATTTTAAAATTCATATGGAACCAAAATCAACATAACCAAGACAACCCTAAGCAAAAAGAATAAAGCTGGAGGCATCACGCTACTCAACTTCAAACTATACTATGAAACTACAGTAACCAAAACAACATGGTACTGGTACAAGAACAGACACAAAGACCAATGGAACAGAATGGAGAACTCAGAAATAAGATCACACATCTAGAACCTTTGACAAACCTGACAAAAACAAGCAAAGGAGAAAGGATTCCCTGTTTAATAAATGGTGCTGGGAGAACTGGCTATCCATATGCAGAGAATTGAAACTGGACCCCTTTCTTACACCTTATAAAAAAATTAACTCAAGATGGATTAAAGACTTAAATGTAAAACCCAAAATTATAAAAACACTAGAAAATCTAGTCAATACCATTCAAGATACAGGCATGGGAAAAGATTTCATGATGAAATCGCCAGAAGCAATTGCAACAAAAGTAAAAATTGACAAATGGGATCTAACTAAAGAGCTTCTACGTGGCAAAAGTAACTATCATCAGAGTAAGCAGGCAACCTACAGAGTGGGAGAAAATGTTTTCAATCTATCTGTCCAACAAAGACCTCATATCCAAAATCTACAAGGAACTTAAACAAATTTACAAGAAAGAAACAAACAACCCCATTAAAAAGTAGGCAAAGAACATGAACAGACACTTCTCAAAAGAAGGCATTCATGCAGCAATATGGTTTGGCTGTGTCCCCACCCAAATCTCATCTTGAATTTTCACATGTTGTAGGGGGGTTCAGTGGGAGGTGATTGTATTATGGGGGTGGTTCTTTCCTGCACTGTTTCCAGGGTAGTGAATAAGTCTCATGAGATCTAATGGTTTGATATGGGAAACGCATTTCTCTTGGCTCTCATTCTCTCTCTTGCCCCTGCCATGTGAGACATGCCTTTCACCTTCCATCATGATTGTAATGTTTCCCCAGCCACATGGAACTGTAAGTCCAATAAACCTCTTTCTTTCATAAATTGCTCAGTCTCAGGTATGTCTTTATCAAAAGAGTGAAAGTGGACTAATACATGCGGCCAACAAACATATGAGAAAAAACTAAACATCACTGATCATTAGTGAATATTTTTAAAGTACTAGTTTTTAATTTTGTTTATTTTATTCACTGTTTTTCTATTTTCAATTTATTTATTTTTTCTCTAATTTTTATTATATATTTCTTATGCTTGCTTTAGGCTTGCATGTTCTTCTTTTCCTGGTTTCCTAAGGTGGGAGTTTTTAGATCTTTCTTTTCTTCAAATTTATACACACAGCGCTATGAATTTTCCTCTAAGAAATAAGTTCATGTACTGTTTTTGGTGCATCTACCTATTTTACTAAGTTGTATTTTCATTTTTTATTTAGATCAATGTATTTTTAAATTTTTTGGACTTCTTTTATTCATGTATTATTTAGCAGTGTATTAATTTCCAAATATTTAAGAACTTTCCAGTTTAATGTTATTTACTTCTATTTTTATTCTATGTGGCCCAAAAACATACTTTGTATAATTCCTTTGTTTAAATGTATTAAGGTTTTTTACGGTTCAGAATGTTATCTATCATGGTTAATGTTCTATGTGACCTTGAGAAAAATGTATATTATGCTGTTTTTGGGTAGAATATTCTGTAAAAGTTAAATAGGTGATGTTGATTATATTTCTAGTTCACTATACATTTCAGGTAAACTACACCTTATTGTTTTTCTTTTTGCCTCACCTGCCAAGTACTAAAGTGGGGTATTGATATCTTTACCTGGAACAGTGGATTTGTCTATTTCTTCTTTCAGTTCTATCAGATTTTGCTTCACATATTTTGATGCTTATTGTTAGATGTATACATGATTAAAATGGTTAGGTCTTCTTGAACATGTTTCTCTTTATTTTTATGTAATGTCTCTTTATTCTCAATAATCTTACTTGCTTTGAAGTTTTCTCTGTCTAGAATTAACATAGCTACTACAGCTTTCTTGTGATTATTGTTAGCTGAGTATATTTTTCCATCCATTTATTATTGATAATTTTTTATAAGATGAATTTCGTATAGACAACATGTAGTTGGATCTTGTATATTTATATGTCTTGATAATCTCTGTCACTTGGTGAATTTAAACCATTCATATTTAAAGTGCTTATTGATATAATTAGATGAATGTTAGTATAATTATTTTCTGTGTGTTGCATTTGCTTTCGTTTCTGTTTTTTCTCCTTTTTTACCTTCTCTTGTTTCAAATGAGCATTTTATATAATTCAATGTTATTTTCTCCCTTAGCATATCAGACAATTTTTTTAAAAAATTGTGGTTGTTCTAGAGAGTCAATTATATATTTTTTATTATTCTGAGTTCACTTTCAAATGCCACTATGCCACTTCATGTGTAGTGGGGGTAACATAACAGAGTATTCTTAATTGTTCTCTCTCATCTGCAGTTACTCATTTCCCTTATCCATATGCTATAACCACCAAACACATTGTTGCTATTATTGTTTTAAGGAGAAGCTGTATTTTAAGATAACTTAAATATAAGAAAAGAAAATGTTTATTTTACCTTTAAGTATTTATTTTAATGCTTTTCTTTTCCTTATGTAGATGTGAGTATCTGCCCTTTATATTTTCTTTTCCCTGAATAACTGCTTTTAACATTTCTTGTAGGGCCAATAATGAATTTCCTTAGTTTTGTCTGAAGAAATATTTATTACTTGTTTACTTTTGAAGGATAATTATACTGGACATAAAATTCTAGATTAGTGGTTTTTTTTTCTTTGAAAAGTTTCAATATTTCACTCTACTTTATTCTTTTATGTTTTTAAATAATTTTAACTTTTTTTTAGATTCAGGGAGTACACATTTGTTACATAGGTATATTGTGTGATGATAAGATTAGAACTGATGATACGGTCACCCAAGTAGTGAGCACAGTACCCAATGGGTATTTTTTCAGTCCATTCCCCCCTTCTCCTTCCTCTGCCCTCTAGTAGTCCCCAAGGTCATTTGTTTTCATGTTTATGTTCATGTGTACTCAATGTTGAGCTCCCACTTATAAATGAAAATGTGGTATTTGGTTTTATGTTCCTGTGTTAATTCATTTAGGATAATGACCTAAAGTTATATTCTTGTTTGCATGATTGCAGATGAGAATTCCACTGGAATTCTTATTGTTCTATTCTAGGTAAAAACATTTTTCCTCCTGCTTCTTTTTGTCTTTGGTTTTTGAAGCTTAAATATAATATACCTAGCCTGGGCAACATGGTGAAACCCTGTCTGTACTAAAAATACAAAAATTAACTGGGTGTGATGGTGTGCACCTATAGTCCCAGCTACTCATGAGGCTAAGGTGGGAGTATCACCTGAGCTTGGGAAGACTGAGGCTGAAGTGAGTCATGATGGTGCCACTGCACTCCAGCCTGGGCGACAGAGAAAGATGTTGTCAATCAAAACGAAACAAAACAAAAACCAGAAAACAGAAAATGAATAAATACATAAGAGATACCTAGGTGTAGTTTTTAAAATATTCATTCTGCTTAGGGTTTTCTGAATTTATAGTTTGGTACCTGCTACTAATTTTCAAAAGTTCTCAGTCATAATTATTTTAAATATTTTGTCTGTGGTTAGGTTATCAGGAATTGCCACAGTGTCTTCCACAGTGGCTAAACTAATTTACACTCCCACCAACAATGTAAAAGCGTTCCTTTTTCAGTGATGCTTAGTAGAGACGTAACTTTGTATTTATGTAAGGTCTAGACTCTTTTCCGAGCAAAATTATACTCTGTATTCTTTTTTAAAATGAATATTCTGAATTTAATAGTTAATAGGTTTTCTGCCAACACTTTATTAATCCAGGTGTTAGAAAAAAGATTATGTTGTGAAAGAATATAGGAACACAATGTGTTTGAGTGAAATCTAGAGTACTGAATTTCCTGTGGACAACTATGCACCATTCTTGCCCTTATTATTTTCCTTTGTGTATCTCATTGACAGCACCTACATCTTCTAAGTTAATTCCTTAGAGATATGCCATAAATTCTGCCAGTGACAGGCTCTTGAGCAAGATGTGACCTGGAAGGGAGGCAGAAGCTGTATTATTTCACCTGCATTAGCAAGAAGATGCATGATGTTTGGGAAATGTGGGGTTTTTTAAGTCTATTTCCCTTAGAAACACTGACCTTAATATTATAGGCAGCTGTGACCTTCAGTGTCAATTTATTATGCTTCCTGTAACTTCCTAAACTAAATGGTGACAGTGAATTTGAGTGATTGTAGAAGCCTTTCTTGACTTTTTCTCCTATGCTCTTTCCTGTGGTTTTATATCCATTTATTTCTCAGGGTTAAATCATTTTCTGCTTAAATATACAGAATACTTTCTATTTCCTCAACAAAACATTGAAAGACATCACTCAGGAGAGTAACATACAATATAAATGTGAATTAATGCAACGTGCAATTTTATTGGGTCAAAAAGTCCTTTTCTTTTTTTTCTAAACAAACTTCTTTCATGACAATCATGGGGGAAAAATTTGTCAGCTTATAATTCTATACCCAGTAAAAATATCCTTTCGAATTTAAGGTAAACCATTTTTTTCACCAGAGAAAAGTGGCCCAGCAGATTGCACTATAAATATTAAAGAGCTTTCTCTATGTAGTAGCAAAATGATCCCAAATTAAACAGAGAGACTTAGGAAGGAATGAAAAGGCCAAGAAAAGGTGAAATACATAGCTCAATGTAAATGGCTGGGGAAATTGAGTGATATGAGGAAGATGTCTATAAGCTGGGGTGGATGTAACGGTGCCCTGGAATGGGTTGAAGAGCTGAGGAGGATGGAGGGCACTCATATGTTCTAATGTGGCAGAACAGAACCTAAGGGTACCATAGAGGCTGTCTATGGAGATAAGCAGGGATGGGGCAGTCCATTGCAGAATGACAGTACTTGAGGAGGGTGAGCACAGGTGCGGAACAATGAAAGTGGTAGCCGTACATAGCAGGGCATTGGAGAATTAGTTGGGTTAGGAGGGCATCCTTATATTAGAAAAGTACAGTGGGGAGGCCAAATTTGGGATGTAGAGTATTAAGGGATTGGGTTCACCCCTGCTCGCACAGGTGTCAGAGACTGAGCAGGACAAACTGGATAACCATGAGGACTGGAGCCTGTGGTAATCATTTGATGTGGGTTGTTGGAGGGCATACAGGACAAGCAGGGTAGTCTTCACAGGCATAGTGGTTGGGACTGCATGGAAAATGGGAATTGGCTATGTATTGGAAGAATGATTAAATAAGTAATTCTATCAAGGATCATGGGAGTAGCTGCCTTGATCAACCTTATGGCATACAGGGAGAAAACTAGAATGATCGTTGTGATTTTAGGTTAGAATCACAGTATGAACACGTGATTTTCAATTTATTTATTTACAAACAAAAATTGTATATACTTAAGGTGTACAACTTGATGTTTTGTTATATGTATACATTGTGAATGATCATCACAGTCAAGCTAATTAACATATTTATCACTTCACATAGCACAATTTCTTCTTCTTCTTTTTATGATGAGTACAGCTAAGATCTAAAATCTTCTTAGCATATTTCAAGTATGCAATAGATTATCATTAACTGTAGTCACTATGCTGCCCATTCAATCTGCAGAATTTATTTTTTTATAACTGAAACTGTACACTTTCACCAACTCCTTCCCATCTCCCTCTCCCCTCAGCCCCTGAAAACCATCTTTCTATTAATACTCTCTGCTTCTATGAGTTTGACTATTTTAGATTCCACATGTAAATTAAATCATGAAGTATTTGTCTTTTTTTGGATTTATTTTACTTAGCATACTATCCTCCAGGCTTGTCCATGTTATTGAAAATGACAGGATGGCAGAATTTTGTCTTTCATAAAGCCGAAAAATATTTCTGTGTGTGTGTGTGTGTGTGTGTGTGTGTGTGTGTGAGTGTAAACCATTTCTTATCCACTCATTGATTGATGGACACTTAGGTTATTTTCATATCTTGATTATTATGAATAATGCTGCAGTAAATATGGGAATGCAGATATCTCTTTAACATCCAGATATTATTTCCCTGAATAAAGGCCCAGGAGTGAAATTACTGGATAATAAGGTAACTCTGCTTTTAATTTTTTGAGGAACAGCTACATTGTTTTCCATAATGGCCTAGCTAATTTTTATATACTCCAAAAGTATACAAGGATTCCTTTTACTCCTTATCTTTTTTGTTTTTTTTTTTAGTAGTAGCCATTCTAACAGGTGTGAGGTCATAGTTCACTGAGGTTGATTTTCATCTTCCAGATGACTAGTGAAACATAGCATCACTTTATACCTGTTGGCCATTTATATGCCTTCTGTTAAGAAATGTGTATGTAGACCCTTTGATTATTTTTAAATCAGATTGTTTGTTTTCTATTGGGTTGTAGGTGTTCCATATACATTTTGTATATTAGCCTCTCATATATATGGTTTGCAAACATTTTATCCCATTTTGTAGATTGTCTCTTCACTGTTGATTAAGGCAACCTTTTTTTTTTTTTTTTTTTTGAGACAGAATCTTGCTCTGTCATCCAGGCTGTAGCAGTGGTGTGACTGTGGCTCACTGCAACCTCCGCCTCCCAGGTTCAAGTGTTTCTCCTGCCTCAGCCTCCCAAGTAGCTGGGATTACAGGCACCTGCCACCACGACTGGCTCATTTTTTTTTTTTTTTTCCGTATTTTTAGTAGAGACGGGGCTTCACCTTGTTGGCCAGACTGGTTTTGAACTCTTGACCTCAAGTGATCCACCTGCCTTGGCCTCCCAAAGTGTCAGGATTACAGGCATGAACCACTGCACCCAGTCTCTCTATTCTTTTTATTTTCTTCTTTTTCTTTTCTACTTGACACATTATACTTGAACATATTTATAGAGTACAATTTGATATTTCAATACGTGTATATGTTGTATAATGAGAGAATCAGAATACTTAGTATATTCATCAACTCTTGCAATTGTCATTTCTTTGTGGCAAGAGCATACAAAAGCCATTTTTCTAGCTATTTTGTAATACACAATGCATTACTGTTAACCATAGACACTGTACTGTGTAACAGAACACAGAATTGACTCAGTGGAACAATGATTGTTCCATTGGTCTACATGTCTGTTTTTATGCCAGTTTTGTGCTGTTTTGGTTATTGTATCTTTGTAATATGTTTCAAAGTTAAGTAGTGTGGTGCCTCTAGCATTTTTCTTTTTGCTAATGATTATTTTGGCTATTGAGAGTCTTTTTTGGTTCCATATGAATTTTAGGATTTTTTTGGGGTGGGGGGAAGAATGCAATGCATATTTAGTCGGGGATTGCATTAAATGTGTAGATCTTTTTAGGTAGTAGGGCCATTTTAATAATATTAGTTCTCCCAGTTCATGAACACAAAATATCTTTCCATTTATGTCCTCTCGAATTTATTTTATCAATGTTTTTTAGCTTTTACTATATGGACTTTTCACCTCCTAGTTTTGTTTATTCCCAAGTATTTTCTTTTTTTGTTGCTATTGTAAATAAAATAGTTTTTAAAAAATTCCTTTTCAGATAATTTGCTGTCTGTATATAGAAATGTCATTGATTTTTGTATGCTGATTTTGTATCATGGCAACTTCACTAAGTTTATCAGTTCTAAGAGTTTTTTATCCTCTCTCTCTTCAGGGTTTTCTACATTTATAATCATATGTCACCTGCAAACAGATAATTTCACTTATTTATTTCTGATTTGAAAGGCTTTATTTCCTTTTTCTTGTGAGCTGCTCTGACCAGAACTTCCAGTACGATGTTGAATAGAAGTACTAAGAGTGGGCACTCTTGCATTGTGCCAGATCTTAGAGGAAAAGCTTTCAGTTTTTCTGCGGTGATTATATAATGTTAGCTGTGAGCTCTTTATACATGGCCTTTATTGTGTTAAAATTCTTCTATACCTTTTTTGTTAGTTCTTTATCATAAATGGCTCTTGAATATTATCAAATGGCTTTTTAGCATCTATTAAGACGATCATGTGATGGTTATATTTCATTCTATTGATAACGCATATCACAGTGACTGATTTGCTTATATTGAATAATCAAATAATCCTTAAATAAATTCCAATTGATCTTGGCATATAATCCTTTTAGTGTGCTGTTGAATATGGTTTGATAGTATTTTATTCAGGAATTTGGCAACTGTGTTCCTGGATTATAGTGACCTATAGTTTTATTTTCTTATGTTGTGTTTTTCTGGTTTGGTATCATGGTAGTTATAATCTCATAAAATAAGATTGGAAGAGGTGCTTTGTCTATTTTTGGAAGAGCTTAAGAAGTATTTGTATTAATTCTTCTTTGAATATTTTAGAGATTTTTCTCCATCTGATCCTGAGCCTTTCTTTGTTGGGATTGTTTTAAGTACTGCTTCAATTTTTTTATTTGGTATTGTTCTGTTCAGGCATTTTATTTTTTCTAGATTCAGTGTTAGTAGGTTACATGTTTCTAGAAATTTATTCATTTCTTCCAGATTTTTCAATTTGTTGTCTTATGAGTGTTCATAATAATCTGTTATGCCTTTTTGAGGCATCCATTGCAATGTCTCATCTTTTATTTGTAATATTCTTTATTTGAATCTTCTCTCTTTTTTCTTAATTAGTCTAGTTAAAGATTTGGTCACTTTTGCTTATCTTTTTAAAACACCAACTCAGTTTTTTTTTCCAACTTTTTTTCAACTTTTTTGCTCTTCTCTATATGATATGTTTCTTCTCTAATCATTATTATTTTTTTCTGCTAGCTTTGAGCTTAGTCTTTTTATTCATAGGCCTTTAGGTGTAAATTTAGATTGTTTATCTGAGATCTTTCTTCTTTTTTAATACAGGCACTTATTGCTGTAAACCTCTCTCTTAGTATTCCTTTTGTTGCATTGTGTAAATTTGGGTATGCCATGTTTTTATTTTCATTTGTTTCTAGATACTTTTAAAATTTCCTTTTGATTATCTCTTTGACCCAGTGGTTGTTCAAGAGTGTGTTGTTTAGTTTCTATGTATCTGTGACTTTTTCCATTTGCTGATATCAGTTTCAAACCAAAGTACTTGAAATCAGTTTGATTTCTTCAGTTTGTTAAGGCTTTGTATGTGACCTAAAATGTAAATATCCTGGAGAACATTCTATGTGCACTCGAGAAAAATTTGCCGCCTTCTTCTGTTAGGTAAAATGTTCTACCCATGTCTGTTAGGGCTACTTGGTTTATAGTGTTGTTCAAGTGAACTATTTCTTTTTTGATTTTCTGTCTGGATTATGTATATTATTGGAAGTGGGTTATTGGAATCTCCTATAGTTATTGTATTGCTATCAATTCACTCTTTAGATCTATTATTTACCTTATATATTTAGGTGCTCTTATGTTGGGTACATATGTATTTATAATTGTAATATCTTCCTGTTGAGTTGACCCTTTTATGATTACATAATGACCTTCTTTTGCCATAGAGATAGTTCTGACTTAGTCTATTCTGTATAAGTAGAGTCACTCCTGCTTTCTTTTGGTTATATTTGCATGGAGTATCTTTTTCCTTTCCTTTTCTTATAGCTTATGTGTGTCCTTAAACACAAAGTGAATCAATTGTTGACAGCATATTGCTGGCTCTTGGTGTATTTTTGTTTGTTTATTCATACAGTCATTTTATGCCTTTTGATTGAAGAATTCAACCATTTACATTTAATGTAATTATTGATAGGTCAAAGCTTACTCAACATTTTATTCATTCTTTTCTTTCTCTTTGCAGTTGTATTATACTAGTTATCTTCTCTTGATGTTTTCCTTTATTATTCAATGATTTTCTTTAGTGATCTGTTTGGATCCTTTTCTTTTTATGTTTTACCTGTGTATTACAAGCTTTTATCTTTGTAGTTACCTTGAAATTTGCATAAAGTAGGTTGTAGTTATATACTTTTTTTTTTTTTTTTTTTTTTTTTTTTTTTTTTTTTTTTTTTTAGGGGGAATCTCACTCTATCTCCCAGGCTGGAGTGCAGTGGCACAATCTCGACTCACTGCAAACTTCGACTCCCTGATTCAAGTGATTCTCCTGCCTCAGCCTCCCCAGTAGTTGAGATTACAGGCATGTGCCACCACGCCCAACTAATTTTTGTAGTTTTAGTAGAGATGGGATTTCACCATATTGGCCAGGA